CTAATTGTTGAGTACATGGCCTCAGGGCAATTAGGGTGGTGCTAGTAGACCAAGACTATGAGAAGCCACATAAGGGAAATAGTTGCCGAGTTAACTTAATCGACTTAATCTGCTGTTCAAGGAGAATTAGCAGGCCTCCAGCCAGGGCCTCAAACCAATTTTAACAAAATAATAATTATATATATATATATATATATATATATATATAGATAGATAGATAGATAGATAGATATAACTGATTAAAAATAAGGAAAATAATACTTGCATAAATTTTGATCCTGAGCATAAATTGTGTCTCCTTTAAAATTAATATTGCAGATCATAATGCTGTATATTTGTTACCACCACCATAAAAATGTTCTGTGATTAGAATCTTTGCAATGGTTTTTGTGATCTTGACAGTATTTGTGCTTACATAGTAGAAGAGTGAGGTGTGTACTTGGTTTGAAAGTGTATGTGTGTTTATGTGTGTGTGTGAACCATATTTCTCTGTATGCAAATTGAAAGATCACATTATATAACTTTTGGGTGTTAATTTGTGCCTTCCAGGCCAAAATATAAATTGGTTATCAGGACCTGGAGTTGAAATCTTTGCTTTGCTGAAACTTGCCTTCTCCACTTCTCATATGTCTCATTTTTAGATCAGAGATAATACTTCTTAGTTGGGAATGTTGTTGTTAGTTGCCACTGAGTTGGTTCTGACTCTTGATGACCCCATGTGTAATAGAAGGAAACATTGCCAAGTCCTGCACCATCTCATGGCTTTTGGTATGTCTGAGGCCATTGATGCAGCTGTCTTTGTGTCAATCCATCTCACTGAGGCTTTCCCATGCCTATCTTGCTCTACATTTTACCAATGTCCTTCTCCAGGCATCGGCCCCTCCTGATGACACGTCCAAAGTAAGGTATTTGAAAATACCTGTAGGTTACTCAGATATTTCTAATAAGATTAAAACATAAATGATCAGTTAACAGTTTTTTAGGCTCTTGAGAGATCCTCACTGATTGCTCTTTTAGAACAGGCACAAGAAAGCTATAGAAGATTCTTCTTTTTTTAATGCAATTTATTGAAATATAATTTATGTACAATGAAATACACAAAACTAAAGTGACATGGGTCAATACATTTTTAGAAGATTCTTTGTCTAAAATATGGAGTCTGCTTTATCTTACTTATTTTTCGGAAGGGTTCAATTGTATGAAAATTAAAAACACTGGAACTTGAAGAATAAAAATTCTACAATGTGGGTTCCAGATCAGCAATTCCATTGGGTGAAATCCCTAGTGGAGTACCTAAGGGAACAGGACTTGAGGTGCAGCTTTTCTCTTTTGAATCACCTCTATTTTGAGGTGTAATCGATTCTATCATCTATTTCATTTCCAAGGTAACACAGAGCAAACCTCCTCCAGAATCTTTGAGATCCTTATAGAAAAAAGCATTAATTTGACAAAGTTAAAAATTTCATGATTCAGAACAAACTTAATTATTTCTAACTCTGAGCACTACTTCTAGTTATCTGATAATGGAAAAAACAAAATAGAGGATGGATTAAAACAGTCTTTTAGGAATTATTATTCACTGGACAGAGTTCAATTTGATTTGGTGGTTCTAAAATCAACACTTTTGCTTAAAGTTCTTGGAGTAACTCATGTCATATTGGTACTGTTATGCCATGATATGAGTTCAAGGATTCAAAAACAAATTTAAAATTACAAATATCCAAAGGAATGTTACAGTCCCTAGCAAACCCAATGAGTCAAGCAAGAGAAGAGTGTCTTTGAAGAGAATCCATGTCTTGATTATTCATCATAGGGTCAACTTAATTAAAATGCAGCAATGTGTCATTATTTTAAAGTAACTGCAGGTAAAATAAGACATTTTCTTTTGTCTCACCCTAATTTCTATTTGTAAAATATTGATTGTTGGTTATTATATAGATACACAGGGAAGGACTATGTATTTTGGCCTTGATTTATTAATGCTGAAGGAGCTCTGGTGGCACAGTGGTTAAAGCATTCAGCTGCTAACCCAAAGGCCAGTGGTTTGAACCCACCAGCTGCTCCGTGGGAGAAAGATGAGGCAATCTGCTTCCATAAAGATTTACAGCCTTGGAAACCCTATGGGAGCAGTTCTACTCAGTCCTATAGGGTTGCTATGGGTCAGAATTGACTCAATGGCACTGGGTTTGGGTTTATTAGTGTATGGTATGGCAATCTGTAGTTATAGTTTTCATTTTAGAATCTGGAAATTTCCCAGCAATTGCTTTATAACAGTCTCAGAATGGGAGCTCTGGTAGCATAGTGGCTAAGACACTTGCCTGCTAACCAGACGGCTGGCGGTTCAAACCCACCAGCCACTCCTCGG